CTTGCAACAGAGGATCGACAGCACCCCACAGGGCGATACACACTGGTACTATCCTGGGAAAAGCCTTCCGGGAAGAAGTGACCACCGCCACTGCACCCAAAGGGGACTGCCTGAAGCGGCAAGAAGACTTGGCTAGGGCAAGGAAGGGAACCAGGCAGAGGGACGGCAGGAACCGGCTGGGGGAAAAGCAGGAGATCGTGGGCAACACGCAAGTCCGTGTTAACAGCAGCAATAGCGCTGGGCGGCGGACAGGAGTGAGAAGACCTCTGCAGCAGGGTGCAACGCCATGAGTTTCTGGCAATCACCCCTTGACAGTGGAAATGTATTGTTAATCCTGGCAACTCCTCTCAGGAGCTAGTTTTTTGTTCCAGACGAGGGGAGCAGAGGCAAAGACTGATTGCCGTGGCCACACAATCTAAAAACAGCAAGAGCCAGCTGGAACACCAGAACCAAGCCCCAAGATACTCCTTCCTTGCTACACTGCTGGCGCGCTATTTGCAGGATGGATCTACAGGGACGGGACGGGAGGAGAGGCCTGTCTGGCATCTCACCGCAGCGCTCCGGGCAGGAACTGTCACGGCCTCCCAGGGCGGGCAGTACAGGGAGGTGACCGGGCCCATCGGCTCTGAGCTCAAGACTCCCTGGCTTAAGATAAAGCTTTTGGCTCCACCAACCTACCAGCTACGACGGCGACAACAGACTTCTATGTGCCTCAGTTTCCCCCAGCTATTAACCACTAATAGCAACATTACCTGACGGGGTTTTCTGAGGATTACAGATCATATGTACCTGAAGTGCTCTCAGCTTAGCGGTCGGTCAGCAGTCGGTGATCAAAGAGGCAGCCATTACCAGGGTGCTGCAGACGGGAGGCAGTCAACAGACCTAGTGTACTAAGGAGATTAGATTAGCAGGGCTTGGGGACAGCAGGGGGGGGCGGCAAAAGTCCACTCCGCCCTCCACCCGCCGGGCGGGCTCTGACACAGCGGTGATTTGGCGTTGCCAATACGAGGACGTGAAGAACGCCAGGGCATCGCTGCGGGGTGGGGAGCAGAGACGTGGGGGGTCAGTGCCTCTCTCCGGGGAAGGGGCGCCGCTGACATTTCTGGCAGCAGTCACGTGTGTGGACCTGTTTCCCCGCTCCCCCCCCTCAACTGAACGTTCCGCATCCC